ATGATGTATTGTCAGAAATTGTTCTTTCTTCAATTTCTATTGAAATTATTTAAGGTTTTTCTAAAAGGAACATGACAATTCACCTTCCTCCGTTGTTGCATTTCAATGAAAACGGCCACATTCCATATCATAAAATGGTGGAAGAAAATGGATATGCAGGTAAGCTATATTTCACATCAAGTCAAGCAGGATATGAATATAAATCAATGTATATTAATTGTTTTCAAACCATAGTCGCCTCATTATAAACAAAACAAATTTTCGATTAAAAAAACAACGTTTATATATTATATATATCAGTTGTTCTATATACATATAATTTCTTCTAAAATTAAAAAAAGAAATATACTAGAATATGATGAAGTGATCATTTTATTTACCCATCAAAAAGCTAGGCTGGAATACAGAAATAGTTCCGTCTCTTTGTCATACATCAAACTGTCCATGTGCTTCATTCTACTCATAATCCTAGTTGAAAAAGAAAACATAAACCACATAAACCGTTTATAAAATAATCTAGAACAACTGATCCTCTTTATGACATAATGTGTAGAGTACAACAGAACAGACAGGTTGCAATCCCCAAGGTAAATGTCGCTTCCCCAAGGTCAAAATAGCACTATCAGGTCAAACATTATTAAGATAATGTCAAATGTTAAAGGGTAAAATAAAAATGTGAAAAGTTCACATTTCTAGTCAACGACATTACTTATAGCTTTAAAAAATACTTTGTAGAAATGATCGCTTGCATGACATGATTGGGTCAATGTCACATGTGATTATTAAATATCTTTTTAACTTTATGGAAGCTTTTACACTACTAGTAACTCGGACCAAATAAACACCACCATGATATGATAACGCGACAAACATTTACAGTTAGTTATACTAAGGAATGTTTTACTCTAACTAAATTATTATCTGTTTTCAGCGTTACAGTTTCTTTATTGTAGTCGGATACAAACACCTGACAATGAAACTATGGGCTCACTGAAAAGTTTCAATCCGTTTCTGGTCATTAAGGTAGAATGGTCTTATCAAAATACGTTTATCGGCCTTTCTAGTTCATTATAATATAATTGTACTTAATTTAGGTAGGTAAAGAAAAATCCCTAATTCAGCAAAGAAAAACATATATATGATATAATATTTGTGCGTTACACCATTTTTTGTTCTTAAAGGCTGTTTCATTTTCACATAGATCTACATAACACATACATGTATTTAGTTTACAAGCCACTTGTGGCCAGATATATATGACACTTTATTCAAAATTAATATTAATAAATAAATGCATATCAAAACACATTCATTTTTTGCAGAACTCCTTATCTTGTATGTTCAACCTCTATAACAGAATTCTTTAAATTTAGGACCAGAAAGATGTGGAATCACTATGTCCAAGTGACACCATGTATGACGTCACATTGGAAAGTTATCCAATGCCTTTGCCAATGCTGATAGAGAACATGACTGTAAACATCAAATTTTGTTACTTTACGTTAAAAGAGGAGACGGTTGACCAAATTCGTGGTGAGTTTTATTGTATAACAATTAATTATTCAATGGTAATAGATTATTTTTTACATTTGAATCAAAAATAAACTTCTAGCAAAAAAAAACACATTGAATATGTGTATAACGATATTATTATTGCCATTTGTAGGTATATTTTTCTTGAAGATATTAGAATTTAATACATCAGTGTCATATTTGTAACCAAGTATCAATATAGTAATTTGCTTTTTTCATGAGCGAAAGAACATTAACGTATCATTTAAAACTATAATCATTACTCATCTAATATCAGTCAATGCTACATCTAACGTATACTTTCTTTCAGATATGTCTGAAAATCCGGACATTGTTCATGTTTTCATAGACATCAATACAGTAGTTAACAACTGTGGGGACTTTTTGATAGGTATGTCAACATTTGAAAACTTGTTAACATATTCTTATTTTCAATTTATAATTGACAATGACAAGAGTTATATTTCTTTATCAAAATCAGATCTCAAACTAATGGCCGAGCTTTTATTATATCATAAATTTAACGTTTAACAGAAAAGGTTATTACTTTTTTTTCTCTTTCTATTGAAAGGTCCTCCATTACCTTGTGATAAAGTGGAAATTTGGATAATGATTGACATAAGACACACTGTTTTAGTTTCTGGAATAGTGTCAACCCTACTGGAAGAATTCTATCACGGTAAAATGTCGACTTATAAACACAAATCAAAAATGATAAACTATAAAATAAATAAATAAATAAATATGTCAACATAGTAAATTTCCATTATAGATAAATGATTACCATTTGTTCTGAAAAACGTTTTAATGTTCTATCTTAAATGTTATGGTATTTGTAATTGGTAATCTACAATGTATGCTCATGTAACACAGATATTTTTTAACAGGGCAGTTTTTACGTATTTTTGTCGGCGATAACAAGTGGAGCTTTTTATTTGACGGGGCATTTCTTTGCAGACACCTGAAGATACACGTAAATGAAGGAGACATGCCCACTAAAATGATATACAAATGCATAAAGTATAAATTTTATTCATTTTTCCCCTCTGAATTATTTATTTTTTTCACATGAGTAACATTATATCTAATGTGCATTTTGTTTAACATTATCATGATGAAAATGAATCAAAGCGAAAACACCGATAATGATTAGTCAATTATTGTGAAATATACTGCTATGCACGAGGGTTGTCCAAATATAAATGCAATTGGGTCAATTTTTAGTGCTTAACAAACAGTGCCAAAATAATTATCTCAATCCTTCTAAGTACTCACCACCATGTGAGACACAAAGTTTTAGTGTTTTAATCCAATTTTATATGCGTTTTCATAATCTGTTCGAGGTATACTGTTCAGACACTGGAAAATAGCCGAACTTAGATTTTTCACGTTTGATATTTTCTTCCAGCAAGGTGTTTTTTGAGCTTGGAAATAGGAAAAAGGCCTGGCAAATAAGGAGGTTGAGGAAGCTCCACAACCTTTTCTTGTTTCAGATTTTCTCGTACAATGGCCGATTGTGTGACGAATCATTGTCATGCAACAACTTGACACCGAAGAGACCAGTTGCTGGTGGACGGTTTTTTTAAATATTTCTTTAATCTATATAGGCCCTTGCCCTTGTAAAACTTGGCATTTACAGATTTACCCTTTGGTTCGGAAATTTGAATAGCATGACCTTGATTGGTAAAATGACCTTTCTGACGCTCATGGTGCGTTTTGCTATGCAAGGTCTTTGACTTCCTTTAGTAGCCCATATTTTTATGTATCTTTCGCTTCGGATCATAAAAGTGAACCCACTTCTCATCGCCAGTGATCGATGATATTTGCATAAGATCGGTTGTTGTATGTAGGGAACTGTTTCAACAATTGCCCAAGCAAGTTTTTGCTCTTTTGTAAGGAGATGGGGTATCCATCTGGCACTTATCCTTCTCATTTTAAATCACGTTTGACAATTGTATGAGCGGCTCCTACAGAAAGTCCAACGCATTTAACTATATTTCTAGTTGTAAATCTTGCATCAGTAGCAATCAAATCCTTAAATTTTTTTAACCATTTTTGGCACAAAATTGCAGTTTTCGGACATGAGATGCATTTTTTACTGAATCCACATCACTTTTAAATTTCTTACACCACCGTGTGATAGATGATCATTGTTCCCATAATACGGCATATCTTACTAAATATGTATTTCGCCTGTATACGAAGAGACCTTTTACCAACAATTTTAGCTTTAGTATACACGAGTAGATAGCGTGAATCGAGCTATCGTCAAAGCCAGACTGAACTGATTTATACATGTATTTTATCAATGGAGTGCTTACACAAACATTTATGCGATACATGTACATTATTCGTGCAAAACGTGGTTAAAAACGAGATATTGGCCCTGTTGCAACATATTTAAACACCCCTCGTAGGTCACCTTGATTGATAAATGGTATGTGATTTACTAGACCGCTTTTAACAAAAGAGACGGTAGGTAATGTTCATTTTCATTTTATTCATTGCTCCGCACCCACGGAGCTATTTGTGTTTACTACTTTTTTTTGTTCATGGACTCAATTTTTATCAATTAATCCCTTCGATTTTTAGCTAAAAATAAATTCGGAAAGAAGAATTCCTTCCGATTTCTATTATGTAAAGTCATATATTGGCTTCCACTTCGGTGATTCGCAACATGTCATATTAATGAATGAGAACGGGAACAAATTTCACGAAAATCTATTTATAGAAGTAGTCTGAAACAAAACAAAATTCGTGTCGCGCTATGGTATTAAATAACGAACTGGAGTATTTTGCAGGAAATGAAATGCAAACATATTTAACAATAAATAATCTTTATAAATTTATCGAAAAAAAATTAAAAGGCCATTTTAACGAATTGTTATATCATAGTATTATCTATTCCGTAGGTACTTTCTGGTAAATTAATAGCTCCCCTGATTGAACTTCTGACTTTTTTTACCGTGGATATATAAATCGACCCTGATTTTCCGAATGTTTGATAGATTTATCTCCTATTAAATCAATTAACAATAGATTTCCTCATACCTGTCTAAATTTCAGATGACAGTCTTCCATTATATTGATATATAATGTTACACCATATCAACATGCCATGCAAATTTATTCATGATGTACCATTATTTTTGTTGACGCGTATAACGAAAATAAATCCTGAAATTAGTCTTTTTGAAATTCATTCTAAATTTTTCATTCAAGTGTTTGTACTACTTTAAGTATTTATCATGGACTTGCAATATAACTACTACAAATGTATATCTTAAATCCCATATATTAATAGAAATATTTTGTTTTATATTTGACATGATAAATACGTATGTAATATTACTACTTAGTCCCTTTTGTTACTGTTTGTACATTTGTTACACGTATAATAATAAAAAAGCATTAGACTTTGTTTAATTTGACTACTGTTTTGTATCTACCAAACAAAATACATTTAATATTCTAATCTCTAGCAAGCCTACCAAAGTTCATGATGAACAATGTCTTTCGTCCAGCCATTCATCTATGATATACAATTCTAATTAAATCCAATTAACCATTGAAAAGAAAATATGGTCATCAGATGTCTCTTAGTTCATCGTCACTTGCTGCATTTCTTGCTTAGACGCCCTTTGATGCTTTGCATCAATGCTTTTTTTTTTGTTACTTCATCATATACCATTTGCCGCGGAACATGTATCAGACATTTAAGAAAGTCGATGAAAGGTTTTGTTTTGGATAATTTACATAACTATGGATTTTTATATTTCTTACCATGATAAGGTGTTACTATTTGTAGAAAATGAGTAGCATTATAGGTGAAAAGGAAAATATACATGCTTTGATATTTTTCATCATCTAATATTACTGACTACAGTGACACAAACAGAACAGTGTTCTACTGCTGTCACGTCACATTACAAGTCGTGTAAGTTTTTTTTTTGTATTGGAATTACTTTCCTTACCAGGTAGGCATCAGTGAAAGCATTTTTTCTGGCCCCTCTCTCGTGGATAAGTATAATTATGCAAGTATAAATGATTTATAAAACATCTGGAATAATGTACAATAGTATTTAATCTAAATAGAAAATGACCTGTGTGTAGGAATAATTTGGTAAGGTATCTGTAATGAGCGCATTTTTACAGTTTTTTTTTATATAATATATATTAATCTTGTTTGTAGATCGGTTATTGGAAGGTATGTGACTATGGTATTAAGGTCAAGGTCGGAGGATTGGAGAAACAATCGTTCAGAGGACTTCATTGCTGTTCTTTCTGAAAACCATGATCAGTGTAATTTGATTATTTTATTTCGTTTATACAAATACATTTGTTAACTATTATGCAAATAGTAAATCTATTTAATTTTAATGCAAGTTCCAACTTATCTGCATTTGAAGATGCATGTAATTTCGGTACATTTTTTGACTAGTTTCAGAATTTGTAAGATGTAACCAAGAGCTTGGTATGCGTAATCATGACATAAAGGACAATCAAATTACGTCTTCGTCCTGGCAAGTTTCCCGCGATCCAAAAGAGGCCCGCCATCATTTATCCGGTTGGTGTGCTCGCTTGACGGATAAACAGCCATTTATTCAGGTGACTGGATTTGTTTAATTTTTTTCAGCTTTTAGTTATTTTCTCGCCAAGTTTAACCATACAACAGTAAAATCTATATTGAAATGTAACAAACAAATTAGCATATTCTAAGAGGATTGCTTACAGAACCTTGTCATGTGATCATCATCAAGATATTGTTTATTCTATGGGACATTTTCCAGGTTGATTTATTGAAAAAGACTTCGATAGATGGTTTAGTAATAACCAACTGGGAGGAAATTATTGACAATATTGAAAACAACAAATACGAAAGACGATTGGTTAAAAGTGGCTGTCGGTCGTTTTATATCAAATATGGAAACGATCTTGATGTCTTGGAACGATACAATAATGTGGTGAGTTGTCTCCTGAAGCCAGAAAAAAGATTGAATTTATCATATATGATTTGATAACATCCAGTTGTGCAGAAACGTCCATTTAAAGAACTTTCTTAAACGGGCATTATGTTATCATTTATTTCATGTCTATTTTCTAGTTCATTACATAATTATACATTATTAATGGAATGTTCAAATATTGGTGGATCATCTATTTCATAGCGATATAAGACGTATAGTTACATTAATTTCATCAATTCTTATCATTTTATCACATACAAGTTAAGCAATCACAACCTTAAAAGAATGTTCCAATTTGCAATTAACGCCTTTACACAGCGTGTCAAATTGAACACACCACATAATGTAGAATATTATGAGGTAGTTTCATGTATACATCGTTCGATTCAATACTGAATTCTATCGGACGAGTACAAAGCTGTAGAATTAATATTGGACGAGGCGCTACCCGAGTCTGGTATTGTCCAAACATTATATTATGACCTCTTTCCCTCACAATTTTTACATTTTGAAAGAACTTTGTGACTTCAAGTACGTCAGAATGTATATAAATTTTGACCCTGAAAATGAAAATGACGCTAGATTGAGTACGATATGCATTTGGTGTAGATAGTTTACACTGTGAGGATGAAAGCGATACTATATTGGATGTGATATGCATTATATAATTATTGGCCTCTTAAAATAAAAAAGAGTCTTTATGGAGTGTGATATGGATTTGTTATGGATATTTAAGACTCTGGAATAAAACTAGTAGGCTTATTTGATAAGATTGGATCCTATAATGATTTTGAACATCACTTACTTCAAATGACGAAATGCATTGGTTTTATGTTGTAGTTCGAAGTCAGGCTTATAAATAGTTCCTGATATTGACAATATTTACCACCCGTGCCAAAGTGACAGCCATTTCTGCGGTCAATACTCATTCAATTCAATTATGGATAAATCAATAAAAACAGCTGGTTTACGTGAATTGTCGTTTTCTTAAAAAAATGTAGCAAAATATTATTATATTAATATGACACCAATATGTAAAATATTTTATCAGTTTTCATTATTATTTTTATCTTATATTAGGAAAACAGTATATTGAAAATGACCCCAAAATTGGCAGCAATTGCATCTATACTCTCTATTCCGTTAATGTTACTTTCCTTTCAATTTTCATAATAATGCATATTTGTATAAACACTGAGAAATTGTTATTTTCAATATTTTTCAGCCGTTTAATTTTGACGATTCTCAGCGTGTTGATATTCCACAGACTTTTATTTTCAATGATCAATTAACTGCAAGATATCTACGAATATTTCCTACCCCCTTTCAGAATAAAACTGCACCGTGTCTAAAATTTGAAGTACTCGGTTGCAAAGATACAGGTTTGCATTGAAACACGCAGATATGATTCTGTAGTCATTTCTATTGTGTTTGTAGTACGATACACTTGAGTTTCAATATAATCTTGTCGCTGTTTTCAGACCAAAATTTAACAATAGTCAAGTTTTAATAAAATTCGATATACATCCATGTAAAATTATCAGCGTTAATTTCGCCGCATTTTAATTCATAAACGACGGCGACGGCAAAATTGCATCTTTTTTATTAATAAGAAAAAGTGAAATAAAAATAAATCTACACGATGGTGGTCTGTATAACTTTTTTTCCATTTATATAATTATGAATACTGTTTTTATTTTGAAAAATTTATTTTAAAAAGACGGAAAGCCATCAAAGACTTGACGTTCGTTTAAACTAGATAGCATTCATTAACATTACTAATTCGCTTAATTTAGTGTAGATCTATATTTTTGCTGTAGAAACTCGCAATCCGCCAAAGATTATGTTAGACAAAGACGACCATATATTTTTTAACGAATCCTATACAAAGATAGACCAAGCTGGATCGGTTGTAAGTTTCAAATATCCGTCTTCAAATGCCTACACTGCAATTCATCGGTGGTCAATACAGTTACCAGTACAGTTTGCGGCACTACGTTTTGCACTTATTTCCCTACATGTTTATCAGGTCGGTTTAATAATATATAATAATTATTTTTCTGGATATCAAAATTGTACTTATAAGAGAATTTAAAAATTATAATGATAGTTATTTATAAATTATAGTAATAATTTAATGTACGTATTGAACTTGTGTATTTTCACAAAATGAATTAAGGCAATATTGGTTGACATCTGTTTTGATAGGCTAACGTTTAAAAAATATAATTACATGTATAGAAAAAAACTTGATTTCATTAACCCCTTTTTACCAAAGATACAGTGCTTAAGTATTTTAAGTATTTTTCTACTTCTACTTTAATATTTGGAAGGAACAGAGATGTTGCTGCCAACTTTGATCATATCTTAAAGCTGAATTTTTCATCAATTTCAAATGGTACGAGCCATGTGTACGAGTATTTGAACGTGGTGTATATTGAATTCATTGTGTAAAGTAGTTAAAGCTGTGTAGAAAACGTAAAATTTTCAGTTATATATATCGATAACTTAATTTAAATGCAATGATAATCTGTGATAATTTTGGAATTTATTTACTTATTGCGGTTACTGATGCTAGTCTAGTGTGTTGAATGTTAATGTTTTTTTTTCTTTAGTATCAAAACCAAAGACTATTTTCAAACTCTCGCTTATGTGAAGATGTGATCATTTTGTCAAAAGAGGACATCGTAGAAGACATGGTTACTTTTCCATCAAATAACGCGATTGGAAACTATCGATTAAACAGCAGTGAAAATGGTAAAATGCCCTCCTTTCCTCTATCGGAAAAAGTCGCTTTTCTAACATTTATCACATGCCCTATAAGGAAAATTGCTGAAGAAGGAACAGGTTTCAGAGCTTTTATAGTTGAAACAGGTAGGCATAACTAGCCTGACAACAAATTTCTTTTTGCTCTTTATGTTTATATATTCATTCTATGTTTATATTAAAATCATAATCCTATATTCGTCGAATGCTTTAATGTAAGCCCGTTGCAATCAAAACTTCCCTAAATGAACATGATTTAATACCTTACTTTCTTACATATCAGACGTCTACACCTGTTCTAGAAAAACCTGTCTTACGATAAGTCTCGTGCTATGAATGACGCCATACCAGCCCGCCGTTATTGACTGAATTGCGTTCTTAGAATGACGTCACTTTGCCGTTTTGAATAAAGTTGTAAATTCATACGCTACTAAAAGAAATAAGTGCTAAATGAAAATATTAGTTTTCGTAGTTTCTTTCCGAAATATGATTTAATATGCAAGAAAAATAAACACCGTCTGTCGTATCAGACTGTAATATCTTGCTCTCGGGTAACTGTTTAGTGGAAACTCGACATAGCCTCGTTACCGCCCGGCGCCGTAAACAATACCCTCAAGCTAGAAATTCCGGACTGTACCGGCAGCCAGTGTTAGATACTTATAGTATATTAAAACATAATTGATCTATGTAAGTATATGTGTTTAAGCATACAGAAACCATATGCAACATGTTTTGATGAGCTAAGTGAAATATAGGATGTTGAAACATTTTTAAACTATTGGCAAGAAGATAACAATGAGCATAATGAAAAGAAATAGAACATCTTGAATGCTCATAGAGGTCAGGAGAGTTGGTTTTATTAGCTTTTGGTAATTCAGATGTCATTAAGCAGTTGTAAAATACAATGCACTTCAATGTAAAGATCTCCAAAATAGCTTTTAAACAAAAAATATATACTGAACCTATTATAAGACACGGTTTATTAAATTATTTGTTCTATTAATAGATTATAAAACCTGCTACTGGGATGACCCAACTGGATATTGCAAATTGCCCTCAATGGACATAATATCAGATCGTTTCTTGTTTGGAACGCTGGAAAATTCAGTGACTCAACGTGAATTTAAATGGACTATAAATGCCGAAACAGATTCTATCATTTTAGCCTTGAATTTTGAAGACTTTGATATAAGTTGCTTATCAGGTAAATGCATGAAATGTGACTAAACATCTTTTTGATTATTTAGAAATTTGAAGATTGTAACAGTCTTAATATTTATTCTTATTAAGCAATTAATTTAGTTATGGGGGATATGGTTAAGAAAAGTTATATGTACGATAACCATTTAGAACATTTATTAACAGAATGTTATACAGCTACAAATAATCAAAATTGTTGTACATAATCATTTATGAATAGTTGCATACATATTACAGCACATTGGGGGGGGGGGTTAAATTCATTTCTAATGCTACATTTATATTTGTAAAATTTCGTTGACGCAAAAGAAATTGTTTAATAGTTCAACGTAATTAACAGGTATATCAGATTTGCTGCAAATTTTATTTTTAGAGTCGGAATTTATTTTGCAAGGACCTGACATAAAGGAGTATACCAGTTTTTGCAATTCCAATAGGCCACGAGGAGACATTTATTTCGTAAAAGGACCATTAGTTGTTGTATACAGACCATATCAAAGTAATATTTACAGTTCCATCCCCTTTCCAGAAGGATTTCATTTGAAATATGACTCTCTACCGAAGAAAACTACTATTCCCTATGAACTTGAGGTGGAAAGTGAGTTTCTTTTATTTCAAAAGCTATACTTGAAGGCAATTTTGTTTGCTAAGCAGTTCTGCTAAATTTTTGAGACTTTGTAAATTAATTCTGAATGTCTGTTTCTAATGAGCAAACCATAAAAGCTTTTATGATATATGCTATATTGAAATAAAATGACTAAAATAAATTTAGAGATTTCATGTTTTTACCATGTTTAAATAAATCAATAAGCTTTTCTTAGCAAGCGTCTTATCTATAGCTAAACGGGCATGAATAACCTGTAAGGTTACTGTATACAAACTAGCTATTTTCTGTAAGTAAATTTTATCCTACTCATCGAATTACGAAATTCATAAAAAGTTTTTATTTCCGCTTATATCTATACACTGTATGGTAGCAACCTCTCTTTTAAACATTTATATTATTATCGTGTGTGACAATTGTGCGAAATATTACATCAAATCGTGTCTGAATGTAATGCATAGTTGTTGTCATTGCTTTCGGTTGACATATCTTTTCTAACTTCAACATTTGATGATTTTGTTGCAGATCATTACGACGGTAATAATTTCCCAATGAGAATAGGTAAATCTATTATAACTTTTATTTTTCAGTTGTAGATAATTCAGACCTAATGTTTGTAGTTTGGAGATAGGCAATAAATACATGTAACACAGTGTGTAGTTCGTTTCCTCAAAACTGATGATTGTGCTATTTAGTACCGTGAACACAAACTGCTTAGACATTCTAAGTCTTTTTTTATTTACACTTAACAGCATTTCTAATTGGTCACGTGTTACAATATATTGTTTCAAAAACATTTCGCTATATCAAACTGTACTTTTTATTGTTCCGTCATCTCGAAACCAATTTTTGTGCCCCACTCTAAGGGGTGGGGTAGATTTGCCTTTGTCCGTCCGTTCTCATGCTTTGTAACATGTAGCTCTGAAAGTGTTTAAGCTAGTCAAAAAAATACAGAAATGTTGATAAGCATGGGAACTTGGGGTTTGGCTTGTGGATTTATTCAGTTTGCCGACTTGTGAAATACACTTTCGTTATGTACTACAAAACTGTCGATTTAAATACTTTAGAAATAACAATCACTTTCTTTTCATAATTATCTTTAATATCTTATCTTTGTATTTATTGTTTCAATGATTCTCAATTGTTCGACCATCTCAAGCTTAAATGCAAATTTTTCATTTACTTTTCACATCCAAAAATCAGTTTGTGAGAAAAATAGTAATTTTAAAATTTATGAACGTTTATTACTTATGATGCTTTTAATCTACAACAGTTTGTTCAGAGGAGTTCAATAAATGCTACCATCTTCGAACTACACTTGGCAATGGGTTGCTCACACATCATCTCCCAGGTGTATGCAAGGAAAAAAACTCTCTGCTCGTGACTTTAAAATCACTCAAAGAACAGCAATTAGTCCGAGGACTATTGCTGGATTACTATCTGTTCCTAGCCAAGGCTTATACTGCATATAAATCAAACCCCTCAGAGGCATACACAATGATAGGTAAGTTTTAGAAGACACAGGTATCGAAGGTTTCTGTATTACTTACAGATAATGGGATGTGAATATTTTTCAATTTCAAAACCTTTTGAACAGCTAGCTTTACAAAGACATATGCCATTTTGAATCAGCGAAGGGAAATATTTGGTTCTGGCATTTTTCTTATTTAATTAAGATATTATTTAAACGTATTATTTTTGTCACATCGGTATTGAGTAATCAAAGTAATTAATCTTGCCGACGATTAAAGAATTATTTAATGATGTTTGTTTTTGTTTCCATATAAAAATTAAAAGGCACCATTCTCGACTCCTAATTTCTTTGCAGTAAATGTATCTATTTTAAAAGCATGCAAATTTGAAAACTTAATATAATTCATGAAATAGTTTACGTTCGGTCTATATGTCTAAATGAAAGAAGCGACAATCCTTACACTGAAATGTAATTCTTTATTTAGGATTAACAAATCTGTTTGAACCCGAGTTTCCTGATAGATTAACACAATACTGGTCTGACGGAAGTCCGCTCACCTTTTCGGCTTGGTAATGGTCTCCATTTGTTTTGTTTGTTTGTTGTTTTTTTGTTTGTTTTTTTTGTGTGTTTTGTTTTTGTTTCATTGCTACAAATCGTTTTTGAACAATGTATTGTTATATATTTTGTTAATAATATTACAAAATAATAGTGTACTGCATTTAACTTTCATATATACGTTTAGCCTTTTTACCTGGTCATGATACTGGTCATCATGTTAAAGGCGACGAACATGTAATGTTCATAAGTTGAATAAAAGAATTGAATTGAATTGAAATTGATACTATCTAATTGCTTAATTTCAAAATCATCACAATTAAACGATTTTTTAAACACTGGCTTTTATACTAAACGATTAAAAAAATGTAGAATTTCCATAATAAAAAGTAAAACTAAAATATGATTTTGTCTTTGAAATTGCAGGGATGAAGGTGAGCCGGCAAATATTGCAGATAGAGAGTTCACTTCTATGGCTATATCCAAACTAGAGAAAGAGAACACGTGGAAAACTTTATTATATTGGTATTTCTTGCCTGGTGACAATGACATATTTGTCTTTGCTTGCGAAAGTAAGCTCAGAAATCCAGAGAAAGGTAATTCAAAGCTCGTTTTGTTCTTGCTGCTTGTACGAACCTGAGACTGTATAACTAGGACAATTATTTTTGTTTGAAAAAAATAGAGAATGGGACATTGACCTTATGGAGGTTTTTTTGTTTCAGATTCCAGCATTGAAAGTACTCTGAGTAATGAAAGTTTCCAAACATGGGATGTACATAATCATACACTATTTCATTGTAAGAGTGGAGAATTTATGTCCAATTTAGTGCTTTGTAACGGTGTGATAGAGTGCTCGGATGCATCAGATGAACAAGATTGCATTCAATGTAAAGTTGTTTTTCAAACTAATGCGAGGGAATATGCTATTACAAATACATTTAATTGATAGCTTATAATGTTATTAATGAATTTCTATTCTGCAACGCCGATCTTAACTGGAAAATACAGCAACTCTTTGCTGCTTTACCACTTGAAAAAAATCTATAAATATATTGGGCTTATAAACTTAGGTCAAATATTAGTTTATAGCGTTTGATTTGTTTTTCTCTTGTCAAGATTTTCTTCAAAAGTAAAATATTTAAAATATTATTCCATTTCTGTAGCTTTGTCGTTTGCGCAAAATGATCTACTCCCTTCACTTAACTTAGTTATAAATAGACTATTCATTTAATTATGAAGCTGGTGCCTGCAAAGAAGACGAATTTCAATGTCAAGATGGTGAGTGTATTCATGTCAGTCAAGTGTGCGATTTCATTGAAGACTGCAGAAGAGCTGAAGATGAGTTTTGCGGTAACTTAATCTATTGACATAAAAATTACGCTTCATTTTATACATATTATATTGACACAAAGTAAATGTCACGTTGCTTTTTCATTTATGGCATCCCTTATTCCGCTTAAAATTATCGATTTTCTATCAAAACTTAATGTTTTCAGTTAATTATTTCTCTGTTTAAAACCTTTTTTTGTTTGTTTTAAGGTTCCAATAGCTTACCTTGTCGTTTCGATATAATTGGAAATTCGTCACGTTAGCAATCATTCCATAAGGCGAAGTCAAAGTTAAAACACACATATTCAGAACATTAGTCTTCTCAATCACCAAATCAACAGTTCAAAAACAAACACAAACACGAAACATACTAATACCATTAACCGATATAAATATTATAATATGAGAGTCATTGTTACTTTATTATGATAGATAGATGTTTACACAATGGGTCATCTATAATATTGAATTTCAGATGTTCAGATTAAGTTTTTAACTATTTATTGATTTCTATTTGCAACGTCAGAACATTAATGCATTGACATTTCGCTCACTAATCAAATAATCTTATAGAATTTCCGGAATGCTCATCCAATTGGCACGTTCGTTGCGAAAACGGACAATGTATTAACATATATGAAACATGTGACGGCAATAAGAATTGCTTTGATGGCAGTGACGAAATCAATTGCAGTAAGTTACCAGGCAAACTAATTCTTGTAAACATCCTACATATTTGATAAACAAAACCATTTTGTAAACAAATGGATTGTGATATGTTAAAAATGTAAGATATTTTTATTCATTATTTGGATATGTTTCTTTTTAAAACACAACTTTAATAAGCTTTAAACTGCCGTAAATATTATATATTTGTAGCTATATGAAAAAAATGAAGCAATAATAAAAAGGTTTACAAACATGTAGGTCATTGTGTGGAAGACACCTTCAAATGTGGTGACAATACTTGTATTCCAAACTCTCGTGTTTGTGATATGTATGAGGATTGTAAAGATGGTTCTGATGAAAGATCGTGTCAATGGAAATACTCCACGTGCGAAGATTTATGGGAAGGCGGTTTGACTGAAAATAAGACGTATCTTATAGAAGGCAAAACTTACATTACGATTTTGATACAAAACAATTTTAATTTTTATGTAAATATTTCGTTTCCAATTACAAATCATTTAATGCATGTTTGACTTAATGGGCAGTTTATATAAACAAAGTTGAAAGTTATAGATTATATTTATGATAACGGATACTGATATTAATGAAGATGTTCAATGCTGTAGAAACATCATACAGTGTAGAAATTAAGCAAAGGATTTTATTATTTTCCCATCGTTATTGTTTTATTTTCTTTTTAATCAATTATCTTTTGTTTGAAATTGTAGATAATGAAATATACGTTTATTGTGGCTTTGACTTTTTACTCACCAATGAGTCTTTATCAATAACAATGATTTACCTGAACTCTGACTGGAAACAAGCTTCAGATAAAGATTTCAAAATTACAACACCAGGTGTTGAAACAGCGTTAAATGCTAACTTTACATGTACTCAAAAGGTTGGTATTTTTCCATTATGAGTTTAGGTTTCTTTGGATAATCACAAATAAAACATGACATTAATTACATTTTAGAGCTGGTAAAAAATAAGCCAATGTTTTATAAAGATATACGGGTACAAAGTGTGTTTGTTTCTCTCTTTTTATCTATATTTCTTAATATCGAGATTATTTAGTACCGCTCAAGCCGGTGATAGGGGGGTGTCATGGATGTTGCACGTTTCATTATCCCTCATGTCAAGACTCAATCAAACCGATTCTGCCATTTACATGTTATTGTGTTGTGATTGGTGCTTTCGAAGGATCACAATTTTCCAAATTTTTATATAATTTCACGTAACATAACATTCTCCAATAGCTGTATACACTCATTTTAATAACTTTATATATGTTTAGTTTACCGAACTTCCACATAGAGACAGAATCAAAGTTATGAGGTTGGATAATCATTCTGTTGAATTTAAAGAGTTAGAATACATGCTCAGTTTAGATAGTGATGTGTCCGAAAATAATACAGATAGGTAAGAAAATGTACTGTTCTTTTGGGGAAATGAGTTGTAACTAGTCATAAACCTACTTGCAACGATATTCTTAGCTTTTACTAAAAAGCATTTTCTGCTATTTGTAAACCGATTGTCACTCTATCATTTGAAGGTCAATGTTCATATGCAAATATTTTGGTTTCAAAGTCAAATGATGAGAAACAAACATTATTTCACTCTAAGTAGAACTAACCAATTCAACATATATCAAATTTTGTTTTTTAATAATATGGGGCTTTATTTAAACCTTTATGGTAGTGCTATTCTATGATGAGTTAAATTCATATTAAAAAAGTGACCTTTGATTTTCTATGAATAAGCCAGTAACAGGTAGTTATTTACAGATTGTTATGTTTACTAGCACCATATTGAGGTCACTATCATTTACCTCTTTTATTGCAAAATTACTAGTTCCTAATTGACCCAAAGATAACTTGTTAATATACCATATTTTATGTACTGGAACTATTCAACGCGTGTTCATTTTTCATTTTCAGATCAGTTGATGCTTCTTTTTCTGTGACACAAACAATACGGGACAGAACACATATCTTTTCTCTACTAATAGGGAGCAGTTTTAAACATTCCGAAAACAGATTGTCAATTGGATCTGTTGTTTGTACGAAAGGTAATATTTCAACCATTTCATTCTAGTAATACTTTATCACAAGTATCATGTTAAAGAAAAAAAACATTGAATCTATATAATGATATAATGATATAAAAAATATTCAAATTTTTCAAATATGCCTACTTTTTTATGATACAGGAAAGTTTATATACACTGTAATATAGATGTATCATAATGTGTAAAATATAATAAATAAAACGGTTAGGATTTATATATCTAAAATATAAAGTACATTTTATAAGATTATTGTAGAAATTTTTCTGTCGTTTTTAACTATTGACTTGTAGTTCAACAAAGCAAATATATTAACGCTCTTTAGAAATCGTATACTAGTACATGAAAATGTATTTATCGTTCCCTGTACAATACTACAGTAAAAGTTTGCTTATCAATTGCAGATGTCGCCATGGCAACAAAGAAAATATCATGCCGTAATGGTGTTAATGCTGTAGACGCCAGTCAGAAGTGTTTGTATGAAAAGGATCCTGATGGTAAAATAGTTGGCTGCAGATCTTTCAACCATCTGCAACATTGCGGTATGTTTCTTTTAAAATGGTACGGGTTTATCATCCTGTCATTGTCATGCACGGTCGTTTGATTGTGGCTTTCTTGCTTTACTGATAGAGAAAAACAATCTGAGATAGAGAAAAAAGCCTCAGATATCATCCCCTGAGCTAGTTTAACCCATTACTGCATGAGCATTTTGTGAAAAATGGCTGTTTTCATTGAAAAGTCTCCCGTTACAAGTTCAAATTGCTATAAAACTATAAAAACTGTTTCAATACTAATCAAACTTGGCACAAATGTTGACTGAACCATTGCCTTTGTAACGACATGCTCAGCCTTAAATTTCCTGTTACAATGGCAACGAGTGGACATTTCAAAATTGCCAAAAAAATCACTATTTTGCGTTGATTTTTCCATCAAAATTGATTTCAAAGTGCTGCAACTTCTCAATGGATTGAGATAGAGTCAAAGGCTTTTCAGTGTTGTTTACACGTTACCTTATGATCGACCTGGGTCATTTTTAGCCTCTCACAAGTCCAAAATTTTCTTGGCGATGAGGGGAACAACCGCCCCCTTCAACCCAAAAAAAAAAAAAAACAGAAGGGGGCATTTTTTCACCATTGGGACAAAAAATAAGGGGGATGTAATGGGTTTACAGGAAATGATAAAAATACCTGCAATCACCCCAAAATCGCGTTTTTTCATGTTAAAACATGGCCTAACATATAATTTTAAAGAAAAATTGTCGTTTTGAATTTTTTTTTCATTAAGGCAGAAGTGAGTACCAGATTAGAACTACGTACCTAACTTACGTTTTCTTATTGGAAAGATTCCTAAAATGACTTGATTTAAGGTTCCCGGACTGGGAATATAATTATGTAAGAGTCAATCATACATATGTATATAAATATATATCTTAACCGAACTTTTCTTGTTTTGTTTGACATTTCTCCTTTAATTTATTGTCCTGATGATGTTTAAATAATTTCAGAATTCATTACGTTAAATCCTGCTTGATGATGCGCGTATCACTCTATTTTCATCGGATGATTGCGATAAAAACTCAATTCGGACCTTAAACATTTTATATTGAAATTGTGATATTTCAATGATTTGTTTAATATCTTATACACAAGGCATTGTTTACAATTGTACAATGATTGTTTTTGTTTGTAGAAAATTTCACTTGCCCAGACAATTTCTTTAAATGCCCGTTGAGCTACTGTGTGCCACTTAATTACGTTTGTAACGGTCAAAGTGATTGCGCCGACGGATCAGATGAGCACAACTGTGGTGGGTAAAAAATTAGTGCCATTAGGTCACTAATTCAATTATCAATTATGAATGATCAAACGTTTCAAACCGATTCGTCATTTTAATGTGGTGGTGAAAATTAAACTGGCAATTATCTAATCTTGCCGTTTCGTTTCGGCATAAATTTGTACTTTTCGTTTGTCCGAATGCAATGAATTAGAAATGTCCTTATTTCTATTTATATACTGAAACTGTTACAATGTAAACAATTGTGATCTGTTTGAATACTCGGGTATTTTTTTAGTTATTTTGTTCTTTGAATATTCAGTCAGATACTACTTGAATTCGTGCCTAATGCTATATTAAGTGAAATCGGCGTTTGAACAATTTCATAAGAAGATGGTATTTTACAAAACTGTGTGATTGCAATTTCAATACGTTTATTGTGCATTTTTTATATATGCACGTTAACAACGTGATGACGATGATATCATCTTCATATTGCTTAAGAATTATGATACACTCATACCTCAATTTAAGAATGAAAACGTTATTCAGATTGGAGAACCAATAAGACTGTGTATAAATGGTTCTTTGCTAAAAAACCGTTTATACTTAGTCCAAACAACCTTCAAATACTCTTTCGGAAAAGTGTTACGTTCGGATGAATGAATGTCGTGCCCCGGGAGGGCTTTCACACTAGGGAATTTGCTTTTTGTCCCAGTGACCTCTGAAATGGTCTCTCGGGTTGCGATATTCAAGGTGCACAAACCTGTCAAATTTGGAGGCTGTATGTGGAAAGACTTTCATGTTATCATTAAGGTTAAACTTTTGTAACAAACGGACAAATACACAAACAGATAACCAGACAGACAGACAGACGGACAGACAGCCAAAAAAATAATCTGCATTTCCGAACATTCGATCCGGGGGCATGAATCATAAAGAAAATCGAAAGTTTAACATATCACAATTAACTTTCATTTTTTGATATTTAACGAGTTTTCGAAATACTAATGATATCAATTTGATTTTCAAAACTACTCTGATAAGTTTTGCAAATAATTACTTCGGACCTGATCTTAAGTTTTGCCTGTTTCAGATTGCAATGAAAAAGAGAAGCGGTACATAATTATTTCATGTCCACACTATGTCAACGACTATACATTTACGCATCTAAATATGGCTATGAGCTTAGGAGGTGTGTTGCATACATCGAACAGCACAGTTAAAGTGTTGGCATATATGGAATTTGATAGGCAAGAATCAATTTTTGATATTTACTCTAACAGCGGATTTTGGACCACACCAACGACGGAGATCTATTTTGCTAATACATCGACAGCACCTTCACTTTCTCAAATTTTAGAAAATACATCAGGTGAATTAAAATCAGTCATTCGAATATCTGATGGTGTAGACAAATTTTTAGAAGACAGTTTATATGCATATCCTGACAAATATACCGACGACATTGAATGGTACAAACTTGTTCATGACGAAGAAATGAACACCAGTTTGTCAATTTATGAAGATACGAATATAACAACAATAAAAATCAGACATAGAAATATGATTACCAACCTAGGATCGACTTTATTTCCAGGACTCTGCAAAGGTAAGACTTTTATTTGTTTATATATCTTACTCAGAATTTATCGTCACATTCAATGGCTTTATTTTAATAAATCTATATAAAAGTCGCTTTAAAGGAACTTTTAACAAATGAATGATATAAATAAAGAACAGAATAAATTCATTATGAGATTAAATAGAGTAAAACTCGATATGAAAAAAGTAAAAATGATGGAATATGTGATGATAAAAAGAAAATAAATCTATAAGTCATGTATCTGTAACCAAATTTATCTTTTCAATTGAAATTTGAAAGCTTATAATCATAATCAAATGTTATGATTTTTTTTTTGGATGAAAATAGGAAATAATTCTATAAGATCATTATTTTTAAACAGAATTTCTTAATTTGAAAAGTTGAATAATGTCAATAATAAGATATTGATTATACTTTTATGTGTCCTTTTTTTAAAGTCTAAAGCGTTTTAGTCTACAATCCGTAATGTGGAAAAAAAAAATCACATTTGATGAGGTCTAAAAATAACAATATAAATATCAAAGGTTGTAAAACTCAACTTACTTCTTGACTTTGATTATTTAACAGAGTCATCATATGCTTGTAAGGGAAACTATCGGTGTCGCATGAGTCGAGTTTGTATTCCACTTGTACAAGTTTGCGACGGAATTAAACATTGCCCGTATAGTGATGATGAAAAACATTGTGAACTACAATGTCCACGTGGTTGTATTTGTAGCATTGCAGTCGTAAATTGTTCAGGAGCTGACAAATCAGTTAAGAAAATAGAAATTGGAGTATCAACAAGAATATTAGATGTCAGTAATACCATACATCTAGGCAAATATGTCTTGAAAACTGCAATATCTTCCCCATTTTTACTGTTTTTAAATCTATCTATGTCTAATTTGGAAGAAGTCGATTCGGAATCCTTTATTTATTTCAAAAATCTTCTTACACTTGATTTAAGCTATAATGTTTTGAGAGTATTGCAAAGAAATACCTTCTTAAAATTAAAACATCTAAGAAACTTGATTCTTAAAGGCAATCAACGATTTTTAAGATTAGCACCAGGCGCATTTAGAGGACTACAAATAAAAACATTAAGTATAAATGAAGCAGGTATTGTTGCTTTGGAGGAAAATACATTTGAAGGATTAAATCTCTCAGTTCTAGATATTTCAAATAACGAAATACAGGAAATTCAAGATTTCAGCTTTGCTGGACTTCATGCAAACACTCTTATTATCAACAACAATCCGATTATAGATTTCGGAAAAGGCCTCTTTGCTGGAGTGGATGGTGTGGTGATGTTAAAGACTCCAGCGTATAAATTTTGTTGCTTAAGACCTATTTATGTAGAGGAAAGCAGCTGTTTTCCGTACAAAGACGAGTTTTCCTCATGTGAAGACCTAATGCGCAGAACTGTATTGCGCGTACTTCTTTGGATTATTGGATTATTAGCATTATCTGGAAACGTATTTTCTTTAGTCTACCGACTTTTTCATGATGGAAAAAGGCTTAAACTAGGCTACGGGATATTTGTAACAAATCTGGCTGCTGCTGACCTGCTAATGGGTATATATATGTTAACAATTGCCGTCGCTGATCAGGTTTTCCGGAATAGGTATAAACAATATTTCACTTTTTATTTATTAGAGCTAAAGCAGCAAATAAATCTATTCTAGTAGAATATTGTCCATTGAAAAATAAGTACTCCTTTATAAGATAGTCATAAATTCTTATATATTTTTGCATTTATTCGATTGTATAGATATATAGAAGTAGACGAACATTGGCGAAACAGTGCATGGTGTAAATTTGCTGGAATCTTGTCCACCACATCTTCAGAAGCTAGCGTCCTATTCATGTGTCTCATAACGTTAGATAGAATATTGGTCGTCAGGTTTCCATTTGGACAAGTCCGATTCAGTACATTGTCAGCAACACTTGTTTCGGCTGCGTGTTGGTTTTTTGCACTTATGATTGCTTTTCTGCCAGAAATCTACAAAGACTATTTTAAAGGAAAATTTTACAGCAAGACAGCTGTTTGCCTTGCCTTACCGTTAACAGATGAAAGATCCCCTGGCTGGTTATACTCTATTTCCATATTCATTGGGCTCAACCTAGTGATGTTTGTCTTAATAGCCATCGGTCAGTTGATGATTTATATAGAAATGAAACAACACGCATCTGTTCAAGTAAAAAAGGTTTCAAGAGCAAATGACTTGAAAGTTGCGAGGAATTTACTTCTTGTTGTTGCCACCGACTTTCTCTGCTGGTTCCCAATTGGTATAATGGGTAGGTTAATAAGTATCCTATAATTATTAATTTTTATGATTGCAGTGTTCGTACATTGCTAGCGAACATCGTTTATTCTGAATCAATGTTATTAAAATATTTCCATTTAAATTTGTAGGGCTCTGTTGTACATATATTATATTTTCGTTGTTTCAGGTATCCTGGCATTTCGTGGCTTTGTCATTCCTAGCGAAGTTTATGCCTGGACAGCTGTTCTGGTATTACCAATTAATTCAGCTTTAAATCCGTTTATGTACACATTATCAGCTATTATTGGACAAAAGGTAAATAGTGAATATTTGCAATATTACTGATGTTTTTTTTGGTGTTTTATTCTTAATTTGAAGCGTAATTTATAACATTCATTATATTTCAATGAAAATGGGTATATTTTCATATAATGATAATTAAATTGATTTTATATCTTATCTATCTTTTAAATGTCTTTTTTCATGTTTTTGCAGAAATTCAACCCTAACATTGCGGAACAAACACGATCTTGTGAAGGTAAATTAAAAGCAAAAAAGTCTTAAATTAAACAAAAATCTTAAATTATTCCTAAATGAAATCATACAGTTTATATACATAGGAACTCGGGAACAGGACCGCAGATTGCGGCTCATATTTACTATCCTGTAATGGCTTTAAAAAATGTTTAATCTAAATGTCGTAACTCATTGTTATAAGCGAAGTTTACCTCACTAAATTTTGACAAAGGGAATTTGAATTAAAAAGGCTTTATTTCCGTATCTCTTGGCTTTGAATAAGATTTTACCCGTAAAGTATTAAATGTGACTTGATTGTGTCGTGTGAGTACATTCAATCAAAGATGTCATATTTTCTGTCCTAAAAATCTTTCGTCACAACATTATTTATTGTTGTGTTTATTTTCTTCTATTGGCTCTTAGTCGGTGGTTCCGTGCTCACTGCCGTATGAATACATCTGCGGATGTTCTTATTAAAAAATTCATCATTTCATTTATTAATGTTGAACACTGCTTAACCCCATGCTTCAAATGACTTGCACCACCATTACCGTCCAAGATCAGCCTCAATTACACCACATATACAACATTATCAATATTTGCCGTTTTGGCATTCTTAGGGATTCCGATTTTCGCTATTTTGTCAAAGGTAAAGATGCATAAAGATGACATAGACCCGAAACTGGACTACGAAGCTCGTGCATTAGTCAGGTTTAAGCTGGTTACAAGATGTTTTGTTCAGGCCAATATTTCTTTTGAAAGAAAAACGTTATTCAGCAGTACCCCTACCTTATTTAGTGATATTGGAATATATTCGTTTATCTATATACATACTTCAGATATTTCTCGGTCGATACTTGGATTACACAAGTACATTTCCATATCAAGAAAAGAAGAAATCAAAACCTTTCAGCCGCTATCGTATATTCAACGTAAAAAGAAGCTACAAGTAAAACAGTTAATTGCCATAGTCTACCATATCGTCAAATTTGGAGACCTACTACACGACAACAGCTTAATTTTGAAAACAATTTCGGAAGATGACATCCTCATTCAAACGCAGATGACACAACAGGTATAACTTGTTTTTAATTCATATGATGAAAGTTTTATTTAAAAGATTTTTACACGTTAATAGAAGAATTGCTAAAGTAATTTCTCATTCATATGAAAGTATTTCAAGAAATGAAATTGAGCGCGTCACGACAAAACCAACATAGTGCGTTTGCGGCCAGCATGGATCCAGACCAGCCTGCGCATCCGCGCAGTCTGATCAGGATCTATGCTGTTCGCTATCAGTTTCTCTACTTGTAATATAGTTGGTAAGCGAACAGCATAGATCCTGGTCAGACTGCGCGGATGCGCAGGCTGGTCTGGATCCATGCTGGTCGCAAACGCCCTATGTTGGTTTGTCGTGACGCGGCTCATTAATGGTTCACTTTAAAAGGGCTGTAAGTCAACAAATAATTATGTTGATAGTATTTAGTATCTCATATGTGATAACAAACCGCAAAGTATTCATATATATATGCTGTTGGTATGTCATGATCTTATACGACATATCTTGTCGTTTTATATGGCGAATTATAAATTGTTCTAGAACCAAAAACTGTATTATTATTCATCATATAATATATGTCCATACAAATCCACAAAGAACTTTATCAAACATATTTTATAAAATCAAAATGATACGTTTCTACTATTTTTATCAGTTTTTGAAATATTAATGGAAAATGTGCATGTTGTAGACGAATAAACTTTGAATGTGCACTGTTATTAAATAATGAGAAGTATTTGTATTTCTATTATATCACTTTACAAGATTTATGACCTTTTCTAAGAAACGTATGTCCTTGTGCAATTTATATTCACAAGTAAATAATACATGTAAACTGTTTTCGGTAATTTTTTTTTCAGATCGACAAAAGCATCTGTATTTTGACGAAGCCTGTCATTTGTGAAAATAAGGCAGACTTTCATGAAGACATGTATAAAGTTGGATTACTGATAAGAGGGTTGCTTTACATGTTGCTGCGAAAAAACACTTAGATTGAAAATGGGTATTTTCATAGTGTTATGTCTGCAAGAGCATTGACGTCCAACAAACATAAATGAGCCGCGTCATGACAAAACCAACATAATGGGTTTGCGACCAGCATGGATCCAGAATAGCCTGCGCATTTGCGCAGTCTGATCAGGATCCATGCTGTTCGCTTACAAACCCTATTACAAGTAGAGAAACTGATAGCGAACAGCATGGATCCTGATCAGACTGTGCGGAGGCGCAGGCTGGTCTGGATCCATGCCGGTTGCAAACCGACTATGTTGGTTTTGTCGTGACGCGGCTCAAATAAATCGCCGTTGAGTACTAATTATCATAACTACTAGTATATAGTCAGACTATCCGTTACTATATATGTAGAACTATGTGTCGTCTGGTATATTCATTTGTATTATCTATATATTCATTTGTATTTGAACAGAACAGTAATGTTCCTTTACATCTCTTTTGTTGTCATGTGTTGTTTTTATCTTGAAACAAATGTTGATCCTGCAGGTTTCTAACTTTCAATTTTTTTCAGTAGATAAACATATTTATTATTTTTCAATGTGTTTAAACATCTGTAATAACCAATGTTTGCAACTTTACAAGTATATTTATGTTCGAGTAACAAATAACGAGCCGTTTTCTTTCTTCACAATCAATGATGCCTAAAATACTTATTGCAGCCACGTCTCAATATCTATCATATACCTCGATAAAACTTATATTGGAACCTTTTTTCGGAACCCATATGCTTAGTAAAAGACTAGTTCATGTTAAATAAAGATTAGATTTTTTTATTAGAAATAAGATGCTGGTATTTGACCGAACAATTGTGATGAACTTGCAGTAAGCAAACGCAAAATTTTGTGACATTGGATGCGTATGGAAATAGCTTTATTCGTCGCCCGATGGTATATAACATGTATAGTCCGTACATACTACATTATCTAACTGTAAAACTCCATTATACTTTACATATATTAATTCTGAAAGATTGTAGAATAATCCACGAGAGTAACATTAAATTATAAAATAAATAGTGTTTATCATTTTCAATAAAACCTATTGTGTGGTGTATAACATGCAGTGTATAACATGCTTTGTCCATCTTTATTATGATTATGATTCGATAATAGCTGGGATAATATAAATAGGCTCAACAGATTTTGTTTTAGCTTTGATTTATCAATATTTTCAATGAATTTGATAACAGCCAGAAGTCGACAGTTAACATGTCGAGCCCACTAGCTCGATCAGTGGGGGTAAACCACTGTGACCATGAAATGACTGAGGGAGTTGATGCAATAATTCTACTTTTAATTTTTGCTTTATCACAATGTACATATTTAAATAAGTGTGCGAAAATTACCTCTCTTTTTAGTGCGGTATCAAATGTCTTCTTTGACCCTTATTATTACATGTACCTTTACCTTTGAGCTACGATTCTGGTAATTGTACACACTGGCTAAGGTCCATGCCAAGTTAAATCTATGACAATATTATAGACAAGCAAAAATGGTCATTACATCTGACACTAAGTACAGCCTTGATATTCATTTTAACTTGTACCAAATTATTTTGGAATCTGTAAATCTGAATAAGTAACTTTGAGTAATATTTCATTATCGAGCGAAACTATTTGAAAATTTTGTAAATCTATGGCTGAGTAACAGCCTAGCAAAAGAAAGAATGCGCACAGTTTTCCCTTTGTTCTAAAGGTGTGACATTTTCCTTTTAGAATTCGCAAATCTGTGTGCATTCACAATCCGGACAGAAATCCAACGCATTCATATCTCTACCGATGTAAACAATTGCGATAAATGTTGGATTGGCAAAAGGATAAAATAGAAAAATATTAAGTTTAACTAGAACTAATACTAAATGTGATTAATGCCCCCGCAAGACTGCTTCGGAAATGAGGAAGTTACTAGTAACAGAATACCTTGCAAAACAACTGAAATAGGGTTATGGTTGTGGGCAATTAAAGATAGTTGTGGTTCTTGTATGTTGAATTTCCTTTCAATGTGGTTGACCGTTGATGAAGTTTTATAGAATTACTTTGTAAAAAGTCCAAAAAGAGTTACGCTTCTTGAGCACTGCATTTCCTCTCATTGCGCTTGACCATGGAATGGAGTTTCATTGAATTCTAAACATTAGTTTTTAAGTTATGCACCTGACAAGGAAAAGTATCAAAGGGATATAACTCTGTTATTTGTCAAATGGCGTTATTGTTTTTGTGCACTGCACTTCCTCTTAATGTGCTTGACGATTGTATGAAGTTGTATTGAATTCCAACTTGTAGTTTTCAAGTTATGCTCCGGACAAGTAAAGTAACAAAGGGTAATAACTTTGTACTTAATCAAGATGGAGTTATGGTTCTTGTGCACAGCACTTCCTGACCATTGTATAAAGGTGTTTTGAAGTCCAACCATTAGTCTTTAAGTTATGGTCCAGACAAAAAAAGCAATGGAAAAGTAACAAAGGGCAATAACTCTGTAATTACTTTAGATAGAGTTATGGTTCTTATGCACTGCACTTCCTCTTATTGTGCTTGACCATTGCATGAAGTTGTTTTGAAATCCAACCAGTAGTTTTCAAGTTATGCTCTGGACAAGGAAAAGTAACAAAGGGCAATAACTCTGTAATTTGTCAAGATGGAGTTCTGGTTCTTGTGCACTTCACTTCCTCTCAATGTGCTTGACCATTGTATGAAGTTATATTGAATTCCAACCATTAGTCTTCAAGTTATGCTCCGGACAAGGAAAACGCAACGGACGGCTGGACCGACCGACCAACCGACCACAGAGTGACTCCTATATACCCCCCAAACTTCGTTTCGGGGGTATAATGAAGTCTTACAAATGTCCTATAAACAAGCTCGCTGATGACATTTCCTTTGGACTATAGATTTTATAGAATTAACGTTAAATCATAACAACTCAGTCATTTGTAAGAATTTTTTAATATATTCAATCATATCCATCTATTAATAATGAAAACATATGAATATTTATGTTGGTATTTTTAAATAGTTATGGTTGTATAATAACTGCTCTTAAAGCTCCTATTTCAAAGATATAACAATATTTTTAACATGTCCAGTTAGAACAAATTTACCACAGATTATTGATACTAAGATGATCACTTAAAACATGAAATTCAGTTTAATGGGTTTGTAATAAAAGATGCAAACAGGTACTAGTCGATGATGAACAAGATCAACAAGGAAAGGCAGCGTTCGCAATCCCGACATAACCCAGCAACAAGAACCCAAATTGTCCAAAAGACAGAGAAAAGTCATGAAAAGATGACAGTCAGATCAAGCCGATCTGTCTATAAATTGCATGAAAAGTTCTTTAAAAGTAAACAACTAGATGCATTCAAATACTAAGAAAATGAAAAAATACTATTAATGTTATGCTTTATTATATATAGAGTTCATGAAAGCCTTAAGAAGTGACAGGGTAATCTGATTTGTCATAAGACACATACATATATTAAATAATGTTGAATAGCCCTAACATATAAAAGTTCTGTCACACTGAACTGGCCTTGCTTTATGCTTGTGAAGCTAAAAACTGGTGGGGTACAGATGACTCATTTTCACATATTTATTTGTTAAGAGCCTAACTAATAAAATAATGACTTTTATTACCATGTATAATAATGAAAAGGTGTAAAATTGAACACTTATATTTTGAAGCACAAACAAAATTAACATATTGCTGGTAAAGGACATTTTCAATAAGGCTAAAACATAAATACTATAAAACACGTGAGCGTCATAATATAAACTATGTAAAAGTTACAAATCTTGAATAATACAATCCATGTTTAAAAAAGCGTTAAAATAAACATAAGCTTATAAAAAAGTATCTTCACAACATATACATAAACAATTACAAAATAACAACTTTATCAATGGGTAGATATGGCATAATAAAATGTACAGAATTAAGAATACTAATTGGATTTCGTTTTGTTATGATATAAAATTCATATTCTCTTAATAAAACATTCCATTAAAATTAATCAAAAATAATAAATGTTTTGTCATTTTCTGTAAATGTTTTACAAATTTAAATGGCTAATATTGCATAAAACAATGTTCAATAAAATTTTATTAAACATGACGAATGACTTATCAATACATTGACAATAAATTGAAACGACAAGAGGGCCATGATGGCCCTGAGGTCGCTCACCTGTATAAAGGCACCTGGAGCGGGGCCAGTTTAAACCCCAGGGCTTTTATTTGAACAAACTTGGAAGACACCCATTAGAAGATGTTTCACGATGTTAAGTTTTTACTACACACATATAATGAAAAACAACGATCTACCCCCCCTTCTTCTGGCCCTCCCCCCCCCCCTCCCCGACAGGGCCTATTTTAACCCAAGGGCTTTTATTTGAACAAACTTGGTAGACAATTATAAGAAGATGTTTTCATGCTAAACACCTAAGCTCTAGCTCATTGGGTTTTTTTAAAAAGATTTTTTAAGTTTTTATATACACATATAGTTAAAACCAATGACACCCCTGGGGCGGGGCCAATTTTGACCCCAGGGCTTTTATTTGAACAAACTTTGTAGACAATTACTAGAAGATGTTTCATGCTTAATATCTAAACTCTAGCTATTTGGATTTTTTCAAAGAAGATTTTTAAGTTTTTGCTATACAAATATAAGAAAAATCAATAACACCCGGGACGGGGCCAATTTTGACTCCAGGGCTTTTATTTGAACAAACTTTGTAGACACTCACTAGAAGATGTTTCATGCTTAATATCTAAACTCCAGCTATTTGGGTTTTTTCAAAGAAGATTTTTTAAGTTTTTGCTATATACATAAAAGGAAAATCAATGACCCCCGAGGCGGGGCCAATTTTGACCCCAGGGCTTTTATTTGAATGAACTTGGTAGACACCAATTAGAACATGTTTCATGCTAAATATCTAAGCTCTAGCTCCTTGAGTTCTTTAAAAGAAGATTTTTAAGTTTTTACTTTATGCATATAGGGAAAATCAATGACCCAGTGGGGCGGGGACAATTTTGACCCCAGGGCTTTTATTTGAACAACTTGGTTGACACTCATTAGAAGATGTTTCATACTAAATATCTTAGCTCTAGCTCTTTGGGTTCTTTAAAAGAAGATTTTTTAAGTTTTTACTATATGCATATAGGGATAATCAAAGAGCCCCTGGGGCGGGGCCAATTTTTACCCCAAGGGCTTTTATTTGAACAAACTTGGTAGACGCTCACTAGAAGATGTTTCATGCTTCATATCTAAACTCTAGCTATTTGGGTTTTTTCAAAGAAGATTTTTTAAGTTTTTGCTATACACATATCAGGAAAATCAATGACCCCCGGGGTGGGGCCAATTTTGACCCCAGGGCTTTTATTTGAACAAACTTGGTATAAACCAATTAGAACATGTTTCATGCTAAAGATCTAAGCTCAAGCTCTTTGAGCTTTTTAAAAGAAGATTTTTTAAGTTTTTACTATATGCATATAGGGAAAATCAATGACCCCCTGGGGCGGGGCCAATTTTGACCCAAGGGCTTTTATTTGAACAAACTTGGTAGACACTCATTAGAAGATGTTTCATGCTAAATATCTTTTCTCTAGCTCTTTGGGTTCTTTAAAAGATATTTTAATTTTTTACTATATGCATATAGGGAAAATCAATGACCCCATGGGGCGGGGCCAATTTTTACCTGAAGGCTTTTATTTGAACAAACTTGGTAGACACTCTTTAGAAGATGTTTCATGCCAAATATCTAGGCTCTAGCTCTTAGGGTTTTTTAAAAGAAGATATTTAAAGTTTTTCCTATTGGTTGCCATGGCAACCAGAGTTTTAAATGGAATTTAAATTTTTGAACAGTTTTGAAAGGGGTCCACCTAAGGATCATTTCTGTAAAGTTTGGTTGCAATATGCGGACGCAGAGTGATGACAAAAGCTCACCCTTGAGCACTTTGTGCTCAGGTGACCTAAAAAAGTAACACTTTTGTTCTATTTTTATTCTCCATAAATTGTGCAAATTTGAAATCCAGTTTCATGTCAAATTATTCCCTAAATAGCATTTCAAAAAAGATGATGAAAAAAAAATGCATACACATTATTTATTTTTGTATTATAAATCTTGTTAAAAAGTATATAATTTTAAACATTTGTACGGACAGAAAACATACAATTTCAAATGACATAAAACATACATAATTTGAGCAATCAACACTTCCTATTTTAAACTGAACATAATAGAGACTGCAAAATTTTCTCAGTG